AGAAACAAAGCAAAACTTTCCCAAATTTACTTACTATGTGCAGTGCACTCTGATATTTTCTATTCTATTTTCTTTTTTTTCCCTCCTCCCTTCCTTTTTTTTTTTTTTTCCTTCTGCCTTTCCTCAATCTTTCTCCCTTCTTATGCTGGTCATGACCCACCAAAATAACTTCATCATTTAACTAATGGGTCATGACCCACAGTTCCAATTCCACTCCAGTGTTGGAGTGAACACTTTCCTCTCCATCCCTTCCTTTCTCCAAGTTTATGATGTGTGTGTGTGTGGCTTCCTCCCTGCCTCCCTCCCTTCAGAATCCTTTGCTCTCTGTCTGATAGCAGAGCAACATTGCTGTAAAGAGCTTCAAACCCCACCTTCAGCTCTGATGTCCTGTGCTCCTCCCCCGCCCCCAGTCTTTAGGACAAACAGACCTCTAAGAAGTGCCTTCCATGAGTGACTAACCCTGATGCATTATAGGAAAGTCCTCCTTTTGTTTACTGCTTGAGAGTAATCATTACAACTAGTTTAATAAAAAGCCCACTGTGTTACCTCTGCTCTGGTTTGGGAATATCACTGCTTAATAATAATTATATTCTAACAGTGAATATTTATTAAGCACTTACTGTGATTCAGACAGGGCTCAGTGCTTTCTGTACATTATCTCATTAAGTCTTCATAACTACCCTGTGAGACATACCATTATTTATCCCTGAGGTACTAGAAGCTGAGGCATGAAAAATCATTTGATTTGGCCAAGGTCACAGAGGACAGCGCAAGCCGAGATCTTATCCACGCTTTTATATCTCTCTACAGACATGTTATTCATAAAGCTAGTGGCCTATCTGAACAGCTCCTTTTTTGAAAGCACGTATTTGAGAATCTTAGAACACCTTGCCCTGTTTTAACCGTCCGTGCTTGTGGCTGACAAACATTCATTGAGCAATTCTGTGTCCCAGGCATTTTGCAAGGCACTGGGTGGGGGTAGACTCAGGAATGACATGGTCCCATCATATAACAGTCATACAGTGTGATGACGATGGGGGGCAGCTTGGTGAGGAGACCCCAGCAGGGAGAGGGGCAGGCGGCAGGTCCTTCACGGTAGTAGGCTTCTCCCACCCCAGTGGCTCCTGGTCCTCTCTTCCTGAGAAGCATGGGTTGGAGGAGGAGGGCCAGGCCAGGTGCCTTTGACGCTTCATCACATTATACAAACAAACCTTGAAGAAAGTATTGGGCAGCTCCATGGGATGATTATAACCCTTATAAGAATTCCTCTATCTTCAGGGGCTCCTGGGTGGCTCAGTCAGTTAAGAGTCTGACTCTTGATCTCGGCTCAGGTCATGAGCTCACGGTTCTTGAGATGGAGCTTCCGAGTCCGGCTCTGTGCTGGCAGTACGGATTCTGCCTCCCTCTCTCTCTCTGTCTCTCTCTCACTCACTCAAAATTAAATACACTTAAAAAAAAAAAAAAAGAATTTTTCTATCTTCAGGTTCTTACAGAGTAGAGTAGCTTTTCTTTTGCATTGTTATCAACAGAGGCAGGCAAAAAATGAACCTTAGTTACTGTAATGTGAGTCAGATTATTCCATTATCTACAAGAGAAGATCCATATATTTAAATGAAATATAACTTGTGGGTGGCTTAGAAGGATCAAAGTTTTATATGTTTATGTGGCCTCATTGCTCTCTTTTCACCTTAGACCTACCTACCTATTTATTGCCCACATGCCATTGCAAATCTAGCCTCTCAAGATTGTCTCTTTTCCCTACCCTTTTCAGGCTACAAGAGAAAAACACATCATGTACTGTTTTGTGCTGGCATTAGTTATTTGAAGTCCTACAAATGACATTGAATCTGCCTGGGTGAGACAAACTGAGAGCAGACACGGTCTTCCAGGCCTCTGCTACTCAGAGAGGACCAACAGTACCTGGGAGCGTGTTAGAAAGGCAGGCCCAGGGGAGCCTGGCTGGCTTGGTCAGAAGAGCACGCAACTCTTGATATCGGGGTCATGAGTTCGAGCCCCACATTGGATGTAGAGATTACTAAAACAATAAATAAACTTAAAAAAAAAAAAATTAGAGGAAATGCAGGTTCAGGGACCAGAATCTGCATTGTAACAAGGTCCCGGGTGATTCACAAGTATATTAGAGTTTCTGAAGCCCTGGCCTAGGCCGCCCTACACCAACCATATTTTTCCCTGGGTGTGAAGCATCCAAAGGATGGCCTTTGTTCTTCTCAGTTCTGCAGTTGCTGGGGGCACACATCTGTCAGTAACAGCAAACACTTTGTGCTTCGGCCCTGCGTGTTCCTGTGACACCTACCAGTGTTCACCAGTTAGCTCTTGTGCTCGATTAAACCCTCAAAAATGTATTCCAGTAAGTTTGGGGGTCAAGTTTAACATTTGTCGAAAACAGGTTAAGTTGGGAATGAACTACAATGAATGGCACAATATATACCTTTTGATACCATTTGATACCTTCTGACATATGTGTATGCCAGTGAGGCTATCACCATGATCAAGATAATAAACAGGAATCATCCAACACCTTAAAGTTTCCATGTGCCACTTTGCATCTTTCCTTCACCCCCAGGTGACCACTAATCTGCTTTCTGTCATCATTGATAGGTAAGTTTGTGTTCCTGAACACATGATTCTGAATGGAATCATACAGCATGGCCTCTTTTGTTTAGCTTATTTTTTTTTTTTTTAACTGTTTTCTTTTTTAAAAAAATATTTATTTTGAGAGAGCGAGAGAGCGCACATGCGTGCACACACACACTGCAAACGAGCGAGGCAGGGGCAGAGAGAGAGGGGAGAGAGAATCCCAAGCAGGCTCCGCACTGTCAGTATAAAGCCCTATGTGGGGCTCCAGCTCACAAACCATGAGACCGTGACCTGAGCCAAAATCAAGAATCAGATAGTTAACCGACTGAGCTACCCAGGCTCCCCTGCCTGGCTTCTTTTAGCATAATTATTTTGAGACTCCTCATGAGTAGTAGTACATGTATGAGTTCTGTTGCTGAGTAGTATTCCATCCTATGAATATAGCACAGTTTGTTTATCTGTATACTTGTTGATAAAATTTTGGGTTTCCAGCTTTGGACTCTTTACAAATAGGGCTGCCATGAACATTTGTGTACAAATCTCTGTGTGATTAACTGCTTTCTTTTCCCTTGGTAAATAAATATCTAGGAATGAAATACCCAAGTCGTATGGGCCATGTATATTTATCTTTTTAAGAAACTACCAATTGTTATGCCATATCATACCCCCCACCAGCAGTATGGGAGGGCTTCAGTTCCTTTACATTTTCCAGCGCTTGGTATTGTCTTTTTGTTTGTACCCATTTTGGTAGGAGTGATGAGGTATCTCCGAGTGGGTTTTAACTTGCCTGCTACTAATAAGCATCTTTTTGCACGCTTATTTGCTATTTATATATGTTGTTCGAAGTGGCTATTGAAATCATTAATTGAGTTGTATGTCATTATTGAGTGAGAGTTCTTTATGTATTCTGGATTAAGCTCCTTTATCAGATAGATGGCTTGACAATACTTCTTCCAATGTGAGCTGTTTTTCTTTCTTTTAATATTGTCTTTTAAGGAGCAAAAGTTTTTGTGGTTTTGATGAAGTCCAGTTTGTCAGTTTTCTTCTCTTACGGATTGTGCTTGTGGTGTCATGTCCAAGAAATATTTGCCTAAACCAAGGTCATAAAGGATTTCTCTTATGTCTTCTAGAAGTGTTAGAATTTTAAATTAGGTTTTACATTTACACCCACAATCCACTTTAAATTAATTTTTTTACATGGTGCGTGTAGGCTGGAAGTTTTTGTTTGTTTTGGCATATCTATGTCCAGCTGTTCGGCATCGTTAGCTGAAAGATTGTCCTTCCTCTCCTGAATCTCCTTTGGGCCTGTGTTGAAAATCACTTGTCCACATATACGTAAATAAGCCTCTTGGCCTGTCCAGGGCCTGGCAGCAGGGGAGACCACCGGTGAAAGCAGCAAGCACTCTGGGTTCTTAGATGGCCAGGGTGATGGCTGTCTGGCTGTGGAGGCTGGACTCAGGCTTGGGGTCTTTAAAGACCCCAAGTCCACTGTTGCCCTGGGAGTCCTGCAACAGTGGACTTGACGAGTTTCCCTGCTATCCTTGGGCGAGTTGAGGAAATCATCCCTGAAAATCAATTTGGTAGGGTTTAATTCTCTCAGTGTCCTTTGCTGAGCAAGGCTGGATAGTACATGGCAAGTACCCTTGTAGATACATAGGAGAGGCATTCATTATGTACGGTGGCTGCCTTAAGACATCGGGGCTTACTCGTCTCCTGCAATCTGCTTGAGAAGGGCCGCTGGACCAACGGGAGACGGTGACTTAGACACCTGGGCGAGCCCATCACGTCACGGAATCCACAGTTGCACAGGCCCCGGGACAGTTCTGGGCCAGCCCTTTTCCGGTCTGAGATAAGATGTCATTCCAGACGGTGGTAGAGTTGCAGCAGACCCCAGTTCTCCTGTGCGTATGTGCCACTGTGCACCTCGGGAGCCATCTGGAGTGGAGACGCCTGTTCTCCTAGAGGCTGTGGACTGGAAGACATGCCGCTGCCTTCTGGAGCTGCTGTGGGCAGGAGTCCTTATGCCTTCCTGAGAGCAGACGGAGGCCCGGGTCAGTGAGGTGACCTCAGGGGCTTCTCTAGTCCTTGTGGCGTCTCCCGCCCCCAGCAGCACTGTTGCCCCTCAGGCCCTGTGTGCAGGAAGTGCAGCACCGGAGTCCTGCAGGAAGCTGACGCCTTTCAGGTCCAGGCCGAGCCTCTCTTAGGAAGCAGGAAGAGCGAGCTCTTTTGGCACAGGGGTGCAGGTTTGTGTTAGCTGTGCGTTCCCAGACCAGCAGAGTGAATAGGGGCGAGGGTGGTGCTTTCTCGAGTGCTTCCAAGATTGACCTTGGCACCTCCGTGTGACCGAGACCTGGGTTTCATGTAGTAAACCGGAACACCCTAACACAGTGTTTGTTTTCCAGGCGCTCCTAGCAGGCATGCGGAACCGGGAGAACTGCTCGCCCTGCCAGGGCAACGGAGAGCAGGCCAGCAGGGGCAAGAACCTGGGCTCCGCGTGGCCTGGCGAGGAGGAGCCCTGCGGCGAGGTGACCACCCCCTCTTACAAGAAGCCTCTGTATGGCATCTCGCACAAGATCATGGAGAAGAAGAACCCTCCCGCCGGGGACATGCTCAACACGTACGAGCTCTTCGAGAAGGCAAACTCCAGCAACAGCCCCTCGCCGCTGCGGCTCCTGAACGAGCCGCAGAAGCGGGACTGTGGCAGCGCCGCAGCGGCCACCGACGGTGACCCCAACATCTACTTTCTGATCCAGAAGATGTTCTACATGCTCAACACGCTGTCCTCCAACATGTCCCAGCTGCACAGCAAGGTGGACCTGCTCTCCCTGGAGGTGAGCCGCATCAAGAAGCAGGTGAGCCCCACCGAGATGGTGGCCAAGTTCCAGCCGCCCCCGGAGTACCAGCTCACGGCGGCCGAGCTCAAGCAGATCGTGGACCAGAGCCTGTCGGGCGGTGACCTCGCCTGCCGCCTGCTGGTGCAGCTCTTCCCCGAGCTGTTCAGCGACGTGGACTTCTCCCGCGGCTGCAGTGCCTGCGGCTTCGCGGCCAAGCGGAAGCTGGAGTCGCTGCACCTGCAGCTCATCCGCAACTACGTGGAGGTCTACTACCCCTCGGTGAAGGACACGGCCGTGTGGCAGGCCGAGTGTCTGCCCCAGCTGAACGACTTCTTCAGCCGCTTCTGGGCGCAGCGGGAGATGGAGGACAGCCAGCCCGGCGGCCAGGTCCCCGGCTTCTTTGAGGCTGAGCAGGTGGATGCCGGCCACTTCCTGGACAACAAGGACCAGGAGGAGGCCCTGTCCCTGGACCGGAGCAGCACCATCGCCTCCGACCACGTGGTGGACACGCAGGACCTCACCGAGTTCCTGGACGAAGCATCGTCCCCCGGGGAGTTTGCCGTCTTCCTTCTCCACCGGCTCTTTCCCGAGCTCTTCGACCACCGGAAGCTGGGCGAGCAGTACAGCTGCTATGGGGACGGCGGCAAGCAGGAACTGGACCCGCAGAGGCTGCAGATCATCCGCAACTACACGGAGATCTATTTCCCCGACATGCAGGAGGAGGAGGCCTGGCTGCAGCAGTGCGCCCAGCGCCTCAACGACGAGCTCGAGGGCCTGGCGCTGGACGGGGGCAGCGAGGGCGAGCCCGCGCGGGACGACTGCTACGACTCCTCCAGCCTGCCGGACGACATCTCCGTGGTCAAGGTGGAAGACAGCTTCGAGGGCGAGCGGCCCGGCCGGCGCTCCAAGAAGATCTGGCTGGTGCCCATCGACTTCGACAAGCTGGAGATCCCGCAGCCTGACTTCGAGGTGCCGGGCGCCGACTGCCTGCTCAGCAAGGAGCAGCTGCGCAGCATCTACGAGAGCAGCCTGTCCATCGGCAACTTCGCCTCGCGCCTGCTGGTGCACCTCTTCCCCGAGCTCTTCACGCACGAGAACCTGCGAAAGCAGTACAACTGCAGCGGCTCGCTGGGCAAGAAGCAGCTGGACCCGTCGCGCATCAAGCTCATCCGCCACTACGTGCAGCTGCTCTACCCCCGCGCCAAGAACGATCGCGTGTGGACGCTGGAGTTTGTGGGCAAGCTGGACGAGCGCTGCCGGCGCCGGGACACGGAGCAGCGGCGCTCCTACCAGCAGCAGCGCAAGGTGCACGTGCCGGGCCCCGAGTGCAGGGACCTGGCGAGCTATGCAATCAACCCCGAGAGGTTCCGAGAGGAGTTTGAGGGTCCCCCGCTGCCGCCTGAGAGAAGCAGCAAGGACTTCTGCAAGATCCCCCTGGACGAGCTGGTGGTCCCCTCGCCCGACTTCCCGGTGCCTTCACCGTACCTGCTGTCGGACAAGGAGGTGCGTGAGATCGTGCAGCAGAGCCTCTCCGTGGGCAACTTCGCCGCCCGGCTCCTGGTCAGGCTCTTTCCGGAACTCTTCACCGCCGAGAACCTCCGGCTGCAGTACAACCACTCCGGCGCCTGCAACAAGAAGCAGCTGGATCCGACGCGGCTGCGGCTCATCCGGCATTACGTGGAGGCCGTCTACCCGGTGGAGAAGATGGAGGAGGTGTGGCACTACGAGTGTATCCCCAGCATCGACGAGCGGTGCCGCCGCCCCAACAGGAAAAAGTGCGACATCCTGAAGAAAGCCAAGAAAGTGGAGAAGTGACGGGCGCCCCGGGGACTGAGCGTTCTTTTGGAGCAGTGAATGGTATCCACAGACACGCACCTTATGTCAGTGGGGAGTGGCTTACTACATTTGCACACGTGAACACCACCCAACCACAGGAAAGAAGCCTTGCGTTCGGTCTCTCCTGCTCACGACTTTTGTCCTGTGCCCCAGTGGTGCCGCAGGAGTTGGGGAGAGCTGAGCCGTGAGAGTAGGGAGGCCTCAGGAGTGGTCCTCTCCTGGGCTGTGTCCCCCCACCCCCCTGCAATTTCAGATGCATATTCAGCAACTCTCTTGTTCCTCTGCCCACATTTTACATCTTCCATTTTTATCAAAAAATTTTTTTAATTAAAAAGAAACCCTTTTTTAAAAAAAAAATCATTGGGCTCTTTGGGGGCCATTTTACTTAGAAAAAATATCTTTTAAATATTTGAGATGAAGTACTGTAAGATGACTTCAGTTGCTGGGATTTTTTTTTTTAAGATGGTTTCAGATTTATGAAATTTTTATAAGTGCCATGTTCATGCATGATGGCCAATAATAGCTTCAGGTGGCACAGAGACCAATTTTCCTGACCTTGTCTTTTACATCTGATTTTAGAAGGATCAAGATGCCCCCTGGATGGCAGTAGAAGGGATGAAATAGTGTGATGTCCTTTCCCACCATGGTCGCGTTCTCCCTTCCACTGTGGTGCTGAGGAAGGGGCCTCACACGGCCTGGCCTGTTTGTAGTTGCCATGTGGGTAGAATGTCGTGCTCACTCTCTGTAGACGAGAACACTGGATGATGATGATGATGATGATGATGATGATGATATGAATGTAGATAGACGTGGAAACACGTACACAATGTCATTTGAGCTGTGTCCTTCCACTGCCCCCTTCCCTCTCTACACAAGGATGCTGTTTGGAGGGGCAGACACATTTCCTTGGAAAACAGTCTGTGTGGGTGTTTAGCTTCTTGTTTGATTTAAGGATGGGCCCCTTTGGGCTCACCAAAGCTGTTTACTTTCCGTGTATGTATCTGTGTGACACCCAGGTTCTGGGAGCTGTCTGGTGGTCTCACCACACCTCAGTGTTAGCCCCTCCGGTCGGTAGCACATCCTTGTTCCTCAGGGCAAGCCCAGGCCTCGGGCCCTCTTGGGGATATTTGGCATTGGAAGGTCACAGGTCATTCAAATGGGGCTTCCCCTGTCCCTTGCCAGAGTCCACTCAGTTGTCCCCTCGGACCCCCTAGGAGCTCTGCCGCCCTACACCTGGCCAGTCACTTGGCCTCGGAGTAAGACATCTCCTCTCCTCACTGGTTGGGAAGGCCAGACTGCTCCAGGCCAGTGGCATACTCTCCAGGACTACCAATCGGGAAATTCCCCAGCACGTAAAGTCCTGAAAAACAATACCTTTATCTACCTGACTTTGGGGTCCCAATCCCTACGAGGGAAAGGAGACAGTGTAACCCAAGCTGAATACATCCTACCAGAAACTCGGAAAATGAACTGAATCACACAGGGTAGTCCTAAAACCCTTGTGGGATGTTGCTGATTGAATAGCCTAGTGGCTTAATGTTTTGCTACCTTAAAATGCAGAAGTAATCGAAACAATCTGTGAATTTTCTTTATACAACCGATAAGGACTTCAGTTCCGGTGGCTATTTGACGTAATTTTGCCTACACCCAGAGGGCTTTTTTTTTTTTTTTTTTTTTTTTTTTTATGACAAGATTTTGAGCAATGTAAAGTTGCTGATCTAACTTTAGTAAATTCGCTTTTAAATGTCACTTACAGATTATTTCTGTTGAAACTGCAGCCCTAAATTATTGCAATTTAGAAATGCACAGGGACTTAAGGACTCTCTCACCTACACCCACACCCACCCACACGTGCACATACATTTTCTTCCTACGAAACAACTTAAGTGGGATGAAGGGGGCCTATAGGAATAACAAGCTCAGCCTCTTTGTGCCTGGAAAGAAGGGACTAGAGCATCCAGGAAACTCACTTTTTCCTCCTCACTTGGGCCTTTCTCTATGCCTTAGTCTCTCCAACACACACGTGCGCGTATGCGCGTGCACGCGCCCTACCCAAAGATGGCGGTGGCGCTCTCGCCCGCCAGCCCTGTTGGTTGGAGAGTGCCATGGAATTTGTTCTGGTCTCTAGGATGTGTCCAAGAGGATTCCAAGCCATGCGAAAATTGCCCTGCTTTCTAGAGGGTGGACTCTGACCCTGCAACTTCAGAAGCACAATCATTTATTAATAACGCAAAGTCCTATCTACCCACGTTAGAGAAATCAACAGGTTCTAGGAATGAAATGTGTTTCTTCACAGCCTAGAGCATGTTCAGTTTTTGGAAGCTGTTATTTTGGTGGTTTCCTTAATACGTTTCCTGCGTAGGGCTTCTCCTCCCCACCCCACCCCACCCCACCCCACCCCCGCCCCAAATCTTAGAGTCCCTTTTAGAGAAGAGAGGTGGACGCACTCTGGGAAGTCGTTTCCTGTCCCTCTGGACTGTCTCACCAGGAAACACCTGCAGGTGTCTGTCTGTATGGTGTCCTCAGTTCTCCAGCCATACAGGTGGGCTCCAAGGCTCCAGGGCAGTTTTTTACACGAAGCAATAGAAGTACAAAATACTTAACTTTTTTCAAAATTTAATGTTTTCCATAAAATGTGTTGGTAAACCCCGTCCCCCTCCCCATCTAAATTCATGGGTTTTTACTTGTTTGTTTTGGGGTTATTTTTTTCTTCGTATCTGGAGAACTAAAGAATTAGCACGGACACATTCTGATGGTAAGTAAAATAGCCAGTCACAGTAGGTGGTAGTGTCCCTCGTTTTCTCTGTTAGTAAGTTTTAAAAGAATGTATGAAGGTAGTCATGAATGTACTGTTCTAATCCTGCTTCAGTTCACTTTGGCTGTGTCTACATGACAACAAATGTTTGACAGGGAATAAAGTTGTCTAGTGTCATGGGCAAAAGTGTGCCCCTCCCCCTTCAGCGTTGGCCCCAAATCTTCCTTTCTCCTTAAGTTTGGGTGGAGGGGGTGCCGCATCAGCAGCAATCATCAACCAACCAATGGGATCTACTTAGTGGTGAAAGGATTAGCTGTTTCAATGGTAAGAGTCACTGGCCTGACCACACACCGCAGCATGGCCACTTGCGTTCCTACAGAGATGGCCTCAGTTTCCACCCCTTTCCTCCCCCCCCCCC